CTTGTAGTTAGCAGTAGAACAATTATCCAACTGCACCAGTAGGGTGCCTTGAGTGAAATTAATCAGTCACAAAAGGACAATTATTATATGAGGCCACACTATAAAAGGTCAAGAAAAGGTTTACCCAGAGTAAGAAGCATTCTTTGCAGGTCACCAGGAATGGGAGATGAAGGGAAGGGAAATTTCTAACTAAAGGGCCGAAACATATTAACTTGGGTGAACACAAAGGCAGTATACAGTAAGGAGGGAGGTCCGTGCCAGATGATGAAGGCAGAGGAAGATACTGGAAGGAGCACAAAAGTTAAAGGCAACAAAAATCAAAACAATCATGGGCATAAGCCTGCAAGAACAGGAGCGACGATAGTCTATGAGTACGGATATAGATAGACATCCAAACTGGAAGGTGTGGGAAGGCCAATGGGATTAACCATAAATACATACAGAAAATAATACTGCGTATGTATATGTATATATGTGTGTGTGTGTGTGTGTGTGCTGCAAATATATCCATGAACAGGGGGCAAAGTGACAAAAACATCTTAGCTATAACATACACTTTGAGGAAATGACTTGTTGGGTCTGAGGCTCAGGACCATAGTCTTGAGAGACAAAGTGGATTGGCATAGCACAGTGTGCGACAACAATGGTCTATATCCTATGCTATCTAAATTTGCATAAAAAACAAACATCACCATTAAAAAGTACAAATGTACAAAAGTGCTTGACACAATGGATGGATGTGTGGATTGTGATAAGAATTGTACAAGCTGCCAATAACATGATTTAATTATTAATAATAAAAAAAGAAAGCAAATGCTTTGAGAATGATGACGGCAACAAATATACAAATGTGCTTGAAACAATGGACGGATGTACAGATCGTGATAAGAGTTGCACAACGATTTAAAAAAAATAACATGAAGGAAAGGATGTTGATAGAGGGAATCAGAAGTCCTGGCACCTAAGGTCTACATGCAGAATGACTTTTGTGTATCTTTTTTAAATAAAAAAACTTATATTCTCAGAGCTTCGAAAATCAGCTGGAACATGCAGCCAGAAACAAACATGTCTACGTGCGTGAGTAACGAAGGCACGGAGTTAGCCTTGTCCTGTGATGTGCAGAAGCTCTCATTCGGGAGCAAGAGGAAGCTCCCATTTTCCCGGACCAACGTCCGTCAAGCAGATCAACCCACAAAAGCCCAGCGTAAGAGGGGAAAAACTCAGCCTTCCTATGACGGGAAAATGTCGTCATTGGACTGACTGCTCTGAGCTCTCCGGTTGAGTTCTTGTCGCAGCACAATCACATGAACATGTATTGGGCTTTTAGCAAACCACCGAAAGGCCTCTGTTAACGAGCTCCTGCTTTAATTAGGCAGGCCTTCTGAGTTTTCCAGAAATATTTGTAAGGAGCCTTACAAAATATCTGTATTTCTGCCACACAATAGGCGAGAAAGAGAAACGCAGGCATTTGTTACATTTGCTTCAATGAATAGGATCTACGGTATCAATCACTAAAATCGATTCTGCCTGTTGTTGAAGAGGTAGGAGTTGTTTCCTTTTTCTTTTCTTTTTTTAAAATAATCAACCCACATTCTACAAAACATGAACAGATTCCACTCACAGGCCCAAATATTCCTTATATACAGAGAAAGCTGTCAGGTAACATTTAAAACTCATGGGCCTTCCGATGACGAGAAACTCAGAGATAAAACTCCGCCTCAATTACAATCACATTTCAGGTCTCTACGTTTAGCCTGAGGAGCCCCGACGGCGTAGGGGGCTGCTATCCGCAAGGCCAGCCGTTTTTTGAACTTCCTGTTTCTCCAATAGAGAGAGATGAGGATTTCTGCTCTCATGACGACCGTCCTTGGAAACTCACAGGGCCGCTTCTACCTGTCCTACAGGGCTGCGATGAGCCAGAATTGACTCAATGGCAGTAAGTTTGAGCTTTTTTAATCTTAGCCTAAAACAACTAGATAGCAAAACCCTTTTTCTCTTTAAAGAGGAAGCACAATCCTGGTGCTATGTTTTCTTTTGCGAGAGGTGATCAGTGTGTGTTTTGTTAGCTCAGCAAGCCTTTTGTATCTTTGCAGAAAAATAAGACAATAGTGTGATCTTTTCAGAGCAATTGATTGTACTCCCAACTAATCAGAACGTTGGTGTCTTGAAGATGACAAAGATGAGTGTGTGCTGCTGGCAATGTCATAGGTAGGGTTTTAGAAGACTAAATAGGCAACCTACGTAACCAAGGTGAAAGGGATTCGGTCCAAGAGCATAACTTCCCGTTCAAAGAGCAGTCGGGAGGGTGCGAGAAAAAAGGATGGTCAAGATGCAAGTTTTCAAGGTGGGCTCTCTGGGCAGCGTCCGTGGTAAAGTAAGAGCATCATCCGTTGGTTTTCACTTGGAGAAACAGACAACACCTCTGAAAAGCATCCCCAGAGCCAATTTGATGTCTCTATTTCGGAGGCTATAAATGAAAGGATTCAACAGGGGGGTAACTACTGTATACATTAGGGAGGCAATCATGTCTTTCTCATTGGAGTTGCTTGAAGATGGGAAAAAGTACAGTGCCACAATGGTTCCATAAAACAAAGACACCACTGAGAGGTGAGAGCCACAGGTAGACCACGCTTTGCAGATACCTTTGGTAGAAGGGATCTTCAAGATAGAGGCGCCAATGCGGCCGTAAGAGACCAGGATGCCAGTCAACGGAAAGATGACAGTCATCGCTCCTTCGGTGAATACGGCCAGCTCATTGAGGGACGTGCTTGAGCAGGAAAGCTTGAGCAGGATGGTGAGACTACAGAAAAAGTGGGGAATTCTGTGGTCAGCACAGAACCATAGTCTCGCCAAGAGGAGGGTATGCAAAAGGGCACTGCCACAGGAAGTTAGCCAGGAGCCAGCCACCAGCAGGACACAGCGCTCTTTTCTCATGATGATGCTGTAGTGTAGAGGGTGACAGATGGCCACATACCTGTCATATGCCATCACTGCGAGAAGGAGGTTATCAACACAACCAAAAAGGAAATAAAAATACACCTGGGAAATGCACTCCGGATAGGAGATGGAGAGGTGTTGAGTCTGCATGTTCAGCAGCATCTTTGGGACAGTGACAGATGAAAAGGAGACATCCGTGAGGGCCAAGTGGCTGAGGAAGAAGTACATGGGGGTGTGCAGACGAGAGTCCAGCCTGATGAGCAGGATGATGAGCAGGTTCCCCAGCACTGTGGTGAGGTACATGCCCAGGAACAAGGCAAAGAACATGGTCTGCTGCTCTGGCCGGATGGGGAGCCCCAGGAGGAGGAATTCCGACATGCTGCTCTGGTTCTCCCACTTCACCGTCCTGCTCTTCTGCATCTGGGGATAGAGTGAAGTGGGGAGTGTTAGGAACTTCGAGAGGTTGAGCACAGCCATTACTATGCGGTTACACACACTTTCTCTACGTGATTGTGTCCGTCGTCAGATGAATCTTTTTACATTTCATTCATATATTGATGCGTCATTCAGACTGGTTATTAGAAAACATCAGATTCTTAATGGCAAACAGGGACAATTCATTCCTTTTTCTTCCCCAAACATGTGAAAGAAATTATAATAGACCCTAAGGAAAGAGTAATATATAAGATAGAGTTCCTTGCTCCTGAAAGTTCATATTCTAGTAAACAACCAACCTCGAAGCCTCTGGGTTGGTTGTGACTCATCGTGACCCTGCGGCAACAGGAGGACATGCTTTGAGTCCTGTGCTGTCCACACAGCTCTTCAGCTGACAACAGTCATTCGGCAAACCCAGATGGCAGTTTACAAGTATAGTTGACCCATGAACAATGCAGGGGGTTAAGGGTGTCGACATCCTGCACAGTCAAAAAATCCACATGTAACCTTTGACACCCCAAAGCTTAACTACTAATAGCATCACTGGAATCCTTAGTAATAACATCAACAGTTGATTAACACGTAGTTTGCATGTTAGATGTAATTGATATTATATTCTTACATTAAAGTAACCTACAGAAAATAAAAGGTTGATAATAAACATAAGGAAAAGAAAATATGTTTACAGTATGGCATTTATTGCTTCTGCAAGTTTGTGGATTCTGTTGACGAGATGGATCATCCTCGCATTGAGTAGGCTGAGCAGGAAGAGACAGGATGCAGTTGGTCTTGCTGCCTCGGGTGTGGCAGTTTCCAAAGAGGTGGAGAAGATGAGAGGAAAAGCAGGAAAACTCAGTGTAACTTTATGGAAATAAGTCCTAATTCCAGTCTGATTTTCTCTTTGCATTTTCCTAAAAATGCTTCTATGCAATACAATCCTTCCATTGCTTTCTCTGGTTTCAGTGTCTGCATATAGTCACTGAAGATGTGCGCATAAGTGGATCCTTGACATTCAAACCCATGTCATCCCAGGAACTATGGAGCAAGAAGAAGTCTGATGGAATGGCTTTGTTCCAGGCTCCACTGCTGGACACATCTGACTATTGGGTATTATATCAGACAGTGCACATCTATACCTTTTCAAGGATAAAACAGTGTATGAGCCAGTTACCCACTAAAAATATGTGGTTATACAAGTAACACAAACACAAACGCACATCCATTCTAGATACGTACCTCTGAATCAGGTGGTAGCTCCTTACCTTGCTATGGTCCGCGGCAATCTTTAGTGGTTCAAGTGGCTACCTGAGTCCTCACCTTTGTTTTTATACCTCTATGGCCTAAGGGTCCTTAGTACCTTCCATGCTTGTTTACAAGTACTAGAACAATGGGCATGAAGATTTCCATTTACCAATAGGACTAAGACCCAGGGGAAAGTCGGGTTGGAGAAGAATCCAGCAGAGTTAATTGTCCAATTTTCTGCCTTCCTCTAGAGGTGTTTCCTGTGCGGAGACTAAAGGGGCTGAGCCCCAGGAATCACAGTGGGAAGTGTCCCTAGTGTCAGCAGCGTGTGGAGCGGGCCTCTGCCAGGTCATTAGAAGTAGCTGTGGTCATGGACAGCCTCTGAAGATCACAACATTGGGGTCACATCTCCACACATCATAAAACGGGCTGGACAAAGGCTCGACCCTTGCAGACTCCTGCACCACAAACCCCACCCTCCGTTAGAGCATAAATTCTCCTGCTCCTTGAGACCTTGCAGGTGTCTCCTCTCCCTTCAGATGTCATGCAAGGCAAAAGCCGTGGCCTGTTACAGAGATGGTAGAGTAGAGCCATCGATCCTCAGGGCATTAACTATTCACTAACCAATGATCAATACCTGTTCTGATAGTTACTCCTTTACTTATCTTGATAGGTCTCTCCACAAAGCAGGAAAGCCCCGCAGGACAGGAATCTTGTCTTTTTCCAGAAGAGACAGAGAGGAAAAATGACAAAGGCAAATCTGTACTTGGATCTAAGATGTGACAGTTACTAAAATTGTACTCTCCAGTCATGGAGGTAGATTTCTAGAGCCTCGGTTTCCACAGCTGTACAATCAATTAACAGTAGTAGCAGCCCCACGGCGCTAGTGTGAACGTTAAATAAACTGACGCATAGAGATGACTGCAGGAGCATGGTAGACTCACAGTCCCAGGTGCCACAGGTATGGATCCACTGCAGCCATACTTGCTCCAGGCTGTGCTCAACCAATTCATGAGGGGGCAGTAGTTTATCACTGGATCGTTTCTGCTCAAAGCAGCATTCCTCTAGTGAGCCACTATTGTTTGGTAGGGGCGAGGAGAGGGGCTATTTATCCGCCTGGCCAAGAATTTCTGAGACACTCATGGTGATCTGATTCATACTTCATAATTTTATAAAGATACATCACATACTCACACACACACACACACAAACAAACACAAACACAGTAAAACAAAATGTCTTCCCTAATTCAATAGAATTTATGGATGGGTCATTAATGGAGATGTGAACGAGTCTTGCAATCCTTAGTAACCAAATGATATTTTATGAAATTCGTTCTCATATGCGTGGAAGTAAATGGACTCAAGTCTCAAAGGAGTTTCCCCCAGGAAACCAATTTATGTCTTTGGATGGTGGCAGCTTGAACAGCAGTGATATTAATAGGGACACTGGCTCCTACTGTAGGTAAGATTCCCAGTTCTAGTGCCTTCGTCAGAAACAGCAGTGGTATCTGATCTCCATGGACTTGGCCAGCATCAGACAGCCAGGTAACTAGTAGGAAGAAGAATACCCAGAAAGCATGGGACTTCGACTGCTCAAAAACCATGCTATCCCTCACTGCCCAGGGAGGCCCAGCAAGCCCTACAATTTTCTGGAAAGATTATTAGAAAAGACGAACCAAAATAAAAAATAAGACCTCAAGACTGAGATAGAAACAAGGCTGAGTTAGCCTTGAGTAGACTCTATTTTCCCAGCAAACTGGAAAAGCAATGCATATCAGTAATGTCTTCACATTATTAATAAGTCCTGCATGTTTTATGAGTTACTTTTTGATATAACCTCATATGAACTATTTGTAATTCTAATTTCCATGAGTAAAAAATATATATATTAATTAACCTATTTTTTTAATTTCTCTTTTAAAAAATCAAAGTTATCCTTTAAAATCACATAGCATGCAATATTTATTAGAGAATGCAGTGTTTATTCAATAGCTGAACAGATAATAAATTTGAGCAAATGAACTATGTCCTTTTGTGACAGCTCATTGGAAAGAGGTTAGAAAATTTTTTTTTACTTTTTGATTCTTAGAATTTTATTGTATATTTAATCATAGCAAAGAAATTTTCTTTTATAACTGCAGTGTAGCTACTAGAATCAGAAATTTTAGCATCAGTACAATACTATGATCTATTTCATAGTCTGGTTAGTATATATTTTAAAAGATATAAATTAAAGACAATGTTGTGACTTGTTCTGGTCTTAAGGGGAAACCACTCAATCTTTTGCTGTTAAGTATGATTTTAGCTTTAGAGTTTATATGCCTGTGATAGGTAGGTTTATTGTGCCTACCTGGCCAAAACACTCATGTGGGATTAATAAGGTTGCAATTTAATTGAAGGGCAAAGAGATAAATGGTTTGGTGAGCATCGCCTTTCTGTCTCTTGCTCTCTGATGATCGGACCAGTGTGCTTAGCTAGTTCTCTGCCTCAGCTTGCGAGCTACACTACCTGTGGGACACCCACCCCATGGACTGTGTCGCTATAGTTTGAGGTTCCTTCAAGACTTGCTTCGCTGCACTGCTAGTGTATACATAACTTGAGCTGGAGACTGTTGGACCCTGTCATCTGGCTGACTGTTGGTGACCTGCCCTGCTATTTGCTGCCTGTGGCCGGATTGCCTGTATTACTCTACAGAAGACTCAGCTGTCTGCTTCCTGGACTTGCACCCAGCAGCCCTCATGAGTTGAAGGACTGCCAGTATATTAACTGTCTCACAGAAGTGAGTTGAACTGAGCCATTTGTACTGTTATGTGGACTAATTAGCTGTTCATTTCTTATGTTGTATCTATCTATCAAATCATAAGTGTTTGGTTTTGTTTCTCTAGAGAACCCTGTCTAACAGAATGTCTTTATCAGCCTAAGAAGTTTCCCCTTAGCTATTTTTTTTGAAGTTTTTTGTCAAGAATGGATGTTGGATTTTGTCAAAATTTTATTGCATACACTAAGATGCATGGATATCATTTAGGTGACGATCAAAAAGGTCAGTCATAATTACTGCTTTTCAACTGATGAATCACATAACTGTCCTCTAGTTCTTTAATATTTCCTCACCTTACCATTATGGTTTTTATTTGTTTTACTTCATTAACCATGTTCAATTTGCATATATTCATTTGTATATTTAAGATCATTTGGTACATGGAAGTCAAGATAGATAACCCATCAGAAACAGTACCGGGAGTAATGGGTCCCTGAGGGTATGAGAAAAGGAGGAAGGGATGGAGGGAGTGATAGCATTAATAGACTGTATAACCCCATCTAATGGGATGGAACAACAGAATTCTATGTGAATGGATATATTGGATTGTGTAAGATATGGCAAAAAAACTGTTATAGAAAAAAAGGGGTTATGGTGGGGGAGGTAGTGGATAAAGGGGAGCTGATATCAAGGAGTTCAAGAAGAAAGAAAATATTTTGAAGTGGATTGTGGTAGCAATTGTTCAGCACTGCTTAATGCAATTGAACTATGGAATGGTATGATATGTGTAAGAGCTCCAAATTAAAAAATAGAGTAAATTTTTTTTAAACTACTGCTTTTCAAATGCTAAGCCAAATTTTCATTGGATTGAAAGCTACTTTGGAGATGAAGTGTTATTCTCTCGTATTAAAAAATTATATTATACTGTATGTTTGGTGAAAGTGTATACAGCAAAACAGGTTTCCACTCAAGAGTTTCTATACATATTGGTCAGTGGCCTTGTGCAATGGTCAGGGGCCTTGTCCCCATGGAGACGGGGG